CATCATCTAGAATTGAGTCAAAAAGCGCTAGAGACTTGAATTTAATATTGGAAATCATATAGCAAATTTGATTCGTATGCGGATTTGGAGGTCTGACGGGCATCTTGGAGATTCTGTCCCAGAATCCCCAAAATGCCCTATATTATGTTATTCCAGATGGGACATCTACTAAAAGTGACGTATGCCTGACTGGGAGAAAATATATTTCTGTCTAAGGCAAGAGTTACCCTCGGAAGGATTAAGCTTTGCGTTTTATGAACGATAAGAGCGAATGAATTTTGCAAGGAGAACTGGATACGTTGACCATTATATCCATTTAGTTGAAAGTAGTGGGTCTGCTTGTAGATAACTATATTGACTATTGAACCTCTTATAGAAAACGCAACCTGTATCGAATCTTCGTCGGTATCAACATCAGTGATTACTCTTATCATACCATTACATATTCCTTAGTCGATGATCGTATTATTCAGATACATCACTCGAGCGTCCGGTTGAAGACAAACGTAAGAAGAGAGATTCGTTTTCAATTTAAAGATATGATCGGAAAAAGATAATTTCCATCTAACAGAATCTATGACATTGATCACTTTAGACATGATGAATTGACCATCTGGAACTGGAAGAGTATTACAGATCATCGTATTGATCTGTTATGCCATTTCTCTGAAACTGACGATGTGGGTGATGTTGAGTTAGTTTTGGATCGAGGACCTAGTGAAGAATTTAGTATGACATCTATCTAATGTATTCCAAGTTTCAGCGGATATAGAACCTATTCGAATATTTTGCAACATTTCGTAGAATACGGGATCATTCTGTTGACGTTGTGGATTTCTTAGGAACAACAGATAGAATAAAGGCCAAACTACTGAGCGAAAGATATGTAGACCAGTTATTGGAGGGAGTTGTGCTATGTCACCTGCGACGATGATGTTTATACCACTAAAAGGAATGGAATTGTTGTGGAGGTTCGCAAAAGTGTTGGAAATGAAATCAAAGAGGTCTGCAAAGATCATGGACGCTTCGTCGATAATGAAAGTGTCAATATTTTTTAATTGATTGTTTAGTTCAGTATCGGCGTAAGCATAGGTACGAAAGGTCCCACTGGTCGAAGTGATGCGCAAAGCTGAGTGAATTATTTGCCTTCCAATATTTTGGGCTGCCACTCCTGTAGATACAAGTAAGAGGTAAGTTGATGATCGTTTTTTTAGCATGTTGATTATCGTATTAATGATGAAAGATTTTCCAGTTTTCCCTAAGCCTGTGATGAAGAAATAAGGCCATTTGACTCCATCATTGGGACCCATGTAGGTAGCGATCGTGGACAAGATTCGATATTGGTCTGGTGGTAATTCGAGTATGGCTGTTATCAGATAGATGTGAGGGAGTATCTTTAAATCTTCCATCTGAATTTGTATTATGCGGTGAAGGCTAGATAGAAATTGAAAGGTTAGAGAATTTAATAAATGATCCAACATTTCAGCGAATTGATTATTTAATCAAATCATTCGTAATTGATGTTGATCATGAGTTTGATCTCGGAGTTTGAATAGGAAATCGGAGAATAATTGGAGGAACTTTTTGTGATAAGTTCCATCTTGTTAACTCTTGTAATTGTTCTCATTTCTTGCGGAAACGGTCAACAGTAAAAGTTGATAAAAGTACAATTCTCCGTCTTCTATATTAAGGAAACGGTGCCTGGTCAAGATATTCTTCAATCGTTTAACGACGTAGTTGGATAGGTCATCTCAGTGGATTTGTCAAGAGGTGTTAAGAGGTCTGGATGGAGAAATCACATATCTTTGAAAGTATTCGTCATATTTTAGGCCTTCAAATTCTGGGGAATGAGGATGCGATAAATATTTGGTAATCGTATTGTCATAATATGAGTTGTCATTGTCTTCGCGCATGATGTAAGCGGGAAGTATTGCCTGTGTTCTCATAGGAGGAGGATTGGTGGTGAGGAATTGGACATTCGTAGATGAGTTACAGATCATATGTTCTAGTAGTAAGAACATAAGCTCTATGGAACTCAACCTGCATGCGATGATATGCTGCCTCAGGAGATCATTTTCGTAGATGTTAAATATGTGTGAAGGTTCTGTCTTCACAATGTATTTCGACATGTACCAAGCGAAACTTTTGTCAGTTATATATTGACAGTTCATATGCACATCCCATAGTAATAAAGTCAGAGGATGATATAGGATAACCCACGAATTAGCTTAAGTTAGGCATTTGTAGATATATCGGGAGTTGCCTTTTTCATAATGTGTTGTCAGACTGAAAGGTCGAGAAAATCCTTTCTTGCAAGTTTGACCTGGAGCCAGAGGTCCTTAGCAATGTAAGTTGCAAGTGTGGATCTGATTCGCAATAACTGCAACGTAAAGTTCAGGTTCGTATAAAGGATCTGGAACTGTCGAACATATAACATCGGCAGAGATCATATCTTCTATCGAGTTAGTTGTCCAATAGCAGCTATGGGTGTGAGCGGCTCCTCTGTTCTGGAATTCAACTTGATCAAAAAAATCGGTAATCTCACCGAATCCCATGAGATCCAATTTTTTATAGAGTTCTTTCTTTAGGGATTGGAATCTGTGAACGAAATAGTTCGCACAGTGAAAAAGCCTATTTGAGGGTAATGTGTCTTGATTATCTGAATTAGTGAGTATATTCATTAGGTAAGACTAGCGATGTTCAGCCATACTTAAAGTAATGAATAAGGTTGGTAAACCCAGTTTATTGATCATCGAGTTTAGGTGGAGTTGCTTTTGATTTAAATATGTGTCACCAGTTCTTATGAAAGAAGTAATGGGGACCATACTCAATTCATTGATTATATTACGCGAAGAGTAGACACTCAGCTGGAGTAATTGCCTTGCCATTGGTAAGTTCGTTCCATTATTTCTGAGGAGATTCTTTTGTCAGAGCAGTCATTGCATGTTCTGATAGTGCCTTAACTTTTCTAGTTGCAAATAAGATCACGAAGACCAGTAAGGTGAAGCCTCCATCTCGAATCGATATTTATCAGCCATAACTTGATGTATTTGCCGTAAGTTTCATCACGGAATTTATCATCAACGGATTGATCTGACGTGTCGTGAAAGTGACCTTTTCTATCGGTAAAGAGATCTGGGAAAAGAAGGGGTTTCAGGTTCAGCTCGTAGGTTGAGATAGGAATCCGTAAGTTCTCTGACTCACAGATGAATTCAGCTATCAATCTGGTGTAATAGAAGTCTTCATCGTGGACTTCATCAGAAAGATCATAGTTTGGCACCACTACATCTCATGAATTGGAAGGAGGAGCGATAGGATCATTCGGAATGTGCCTGGCTCTCGGGAAAGATTCGTTTAGATACAGACGTCTACGAGATGAGGACAACAGATCAGTGAAAGGTTGAAGGTATGGATTATTTTGCGTCAACTAGAAAGCGGCACGTTGTAGGATCAGGTTATCAGTCAAATAGTCAGACTGGTTCAGGGTAGTAGATTCGAATCCATGATTGTCAGTGGGTTCTAAGATGACACCTAGAATTCCAGAGTATAAGACATATGCTCTTACGTTAAGGGAGTATCCCATAGTTCCCATTAAACTTCAATATTCTGAAAATGGGTTACTGTTCAGTGATCTTCCTAAGGCACAATAGAGGTAGATGGGTGATAGATGCTTTCTTCTGTGTAATGATACAGAAGCGATTTCATCAGGCATAGGTGAAAGGTGAGGAAAGTTAAATCTGGTGGATGGTCTTTTACACGATTCGCAAGTTGAAACTCTAAATTCCGGATTTCGATCTTGGTTTAGGTTAAAGGACGTTGATATATCGATTAAGGGAATTCGTTGTTGTATAGGATAAAGGAATGAAGGGTCGTAAAATGACTAAGAGGCTTTCTCAGGATACAACAATTTTCCACAGTATACGCATGCGATTCTGGGATATTGAGTTAGAATGTTATTTTGAAAGCGGTCGTATAACTTCTGGAATTTGGTTAAAGGTCTCCAGTGAGGTAGCTGAACGTTCGTTTGATTGATTGGATCAGCGTTCATGATGGTATCCTTTAAGTTTAAGCGAGATCCAAGGTTATGATCAGGTTGTTGAATGAAGAAGTTCAAAACGGATTTGTATTCGGTATCGAATACATAGATATTGTTGATCTGATGGGCTATTTATTCGCTAAGTATTATTTATCAATAGTTATTTTTTAATTTTATTTTAAATATATATATATATTTTTTCTTTGTGATGAGAAGAACGATTTTTTCTAACTTTATTTTTTTTTTTTTCGTGATTTTATTTGCATAAATTCATTTATATTCGGGCTAACACAGATCATTTGAATGATGATAAATGAAATATTTG